GAAAAAACTGAAAATCAGAAGTAAAAGTTGACAGAAATGCTGGACTGGCAGATACCCTGCTACCGTCAACATAGGTGGGGATTGGGGGAGGTTTGTGAAAATGGTTAACCTTAAAAGGGGCGGATAAATCAATTGGGATCAATTCTCATCTAGCTTTTATACTACCAAGATACTACCAAGTTACTCTTATACTTGTGTACTCTTATACTGGCTGATTAGAGCTCTTATCGGAGTTGAGTAAATTCTACATATAATCCTGTAACACATTCAGTCAACCGAATCAGCCTTAGAAGAGATAGATATATCAATTTTCGTTTGGCTTTCATTCTAGCATGAAGGACAGTTGCTCTTATATTTACATACATCCTAAACGGAGCCTACATTTAGCTGATTCCAAGCTCTAATGCTACTTGAGTACATTTCAACTCTTGTGCAGTAACAAATTCAGTCAAACGGACGAGCACGATCAAGCCCTATCCTACTTCTATCAAGCCCGATCAAGCCCTATCTTACTTCTATCTCTTTTACTGGTTAGATTTTATTCTGGCCAGCTCTTCTACTCCCAAACATTCCCGAAATTGGCAGACACTCAAGGCCAGAACGACTCGTTTCTAGCTGTTATACTATCCAATCAGACTCTAGTTTTTTTACTTTCTTATACTTTCACTCAGAATGATGAAGTTTGACATTCTACTCTTATACTATCATACTGATCATACTCGTATACTATCATCACAGTTATGATATGGCTCCTCCTCTTGTGATTATACTATACAGGGTATAGCTCTCTCCTTAAGTCTGTAATAGCTAACAAACTTTGCTGCCCCCAACTAACTAGCTCTTCTACCAGCTCATATAGGAGCTCTTATACTGCAGCCATTGACTACCGAGCTGAGCTCTACCTCATATAATTTGGTACAGATATAGACCCAATTGATCTTCGCGCTTTCTTCCATTTGTTCCTCTGCGAGGCGCATTTCAGATGAAACTAATATGCTCGCTTTAAACAATATTTCCAATACAAAAAGAGAAATAGTAATATACACATAAATATCTCTCACTTTTTCGTTGTCATGAACGCGTCCAATCGCTGGATTATGTAAGATCGGCATACCTCAGCTATGAAACGCTGTGCATATTGTGAATGCCAAGCGTTGGACTTCACGAAGGTAACGCCCAGCATTTAACTATAACAAGTGCAAATTGCGTAGCTTTTTCTTTTTTTCGTTGTCTTCTCTCTCTTTTTTTTTTATTTTTTTTTTTTTTTAGTTTTGGCCATGCGCTGCATGCTTAAAATAAATGTTAATATCTTCATCATTTACAGTTAAATGCAGGCGAGTGGACAAAGTTTGTGTATGCTGGACATGCGAACACCCACACACACATACATACACAGACGTTTATGATGGCATCATGTGTGTGTGTGTGTGTGTGTATGTTCGCTCATAATTTGATAATAGCGTCCATTAAAGCTAAAGCTAAGGCAAACGCAAAAGTGCGCATAAAACAAAACTGAAACTTTGCTTGTTGTTGTTGCTGTTGTTGCTGTTGTTGTTGTTGTCTTAATTAGCACCCAACTAAATGTTTATAAAGTGGCAGCTGCTTCTCTTTTTATTTTTATATTTTTATTTTGCTTTTGAGCTTTTGTATTTTTATTTTCTGGGTGTCAAAACAGATTTGTACAAACAGTGTCATTAGCTGGGAGAATGATGCTTCGGCTGTGTCGGTCGCTCGATTATTAGGTAATACCCCTACTATATGGCAAACAGAAATGAAGTCATTTACTTCAGCCTGCCTCATATTTATTTAAACAAATTAAAATGTGTGTGAAAAATGCGCACATGTTTCATTATTGATACCAGAGCCAGAGCTGAACAATGGCGGGCAAACAAAAGACTTAGGCAACGAACTTGCCGTGGCCACATGCCTATACTATACTGTATATATGTATTATAATTTAACTAGCTTGCAATTTCAAGACATTCCCAGCATTGTTGTTGTTGTTGTTGTTGTCGGTTGCTGCTGCTGCTGCGTCAATCATGCCTGGCCTGGCTAGAACTTCATTTGATTTGCAGCTTTTCAATTGGATATCTCTGTGTCTGCCCCATGTGGCGATCCGACGCGTCGGTGGGTGCAGCATTGGGCAGCAGCTGAAATCAGCCAGAGGCAATGTTTAAATGTTAAACTAGTTAGAATGCAGAGAGCAGCGAGAGGTCAACTGAATGAATACCCTGTAAATATAGTGTACAAAAAATGATGTACAAAATAAGAAGATAAGATGTTGAGAGAGTGAGAAAGAGAGAGAGATAGAAACAGAAAGGTGTTAGAGGGAGAATTAAGAGTAAGAGAGATGACGAAATATAGATAGATAAAGAAGATATAGATATAGATAGATGAAGAGACAGAGAGACAAGATAGAGAGAAAGAGAGAGTGAGAGAGAAAAAGAGAGAAGGGAGAGAAAAGAGAAGGAAAGAGGTGGAGAGATGGACTGATAAATAAGATAGAGTGATTAAGGACAGCTTAGGTAAGAGATGGATGGAGAGGATGGCGAAAAAGTAAGAAGTAAGAAGAAATAAGAAGTGGAAACTGGAGAGTGAGAAATGAGAAGCTACTAGCGAAAAAAATAAAAGAAAGGGAGATAAGGTAGAAAAGAGAAGAAATAGAATAGCTAAGAAGAAGTTAGGAAGAATTACAAAGAGATAAGACAAACCAACAGAAAGATGTGAGCAATGAGAGTAGAAGAAAGTAGCGGAAGAGAGAACAGAGAAAGGACAGCAGAGGTCCGGCTATAGAGATAATAATGCACAAAGAAAAGAAAGAGGAGAGAAGAGAAACAGAGATCCGACAAACGAGAAAATAGAGAGAGAAGGGATAATAAAAATCTGACAAGAGGGAGTATAGAGAGGGAGAAAGACAAGAGATAGTACAGATCAAACAAAAGAGATAGGAATAAAGAAAACAAAAAGAAAAATGTATTCTGAAGGATAATAGAAAATCCCATTACAGCTTCTTCTAAAATACATATCACAATTAATATACCCCACTCGGATATTTGCTATAGAATTTACCTACAAACAAAATTCATTAATCTCATGAAATGGTATAGCAGCAGCAGCAGCAGCCGACTGTGATCGGGCAAAGGCAGCTCGACTATAGTTAGTGGCTGTCTCGATGGCTTGGCTAGGTTTAATTGACGCGCTGCCAGCATATATTTGCTTTGATTTTGTAATTAGATTCTGCGCCACAGGTTGAACAGGTTCATGAGATAAAGCCAAATGGCAGTTCTTTGAATTTTTATGCTAATCTCGCTGTTGCACTTGTTGCAGCCATTATAAAGTTTTATAAAGTTTTTCCTTTTTTTTTATAAACAATTTTTTTTTATAAACCTATTTTATAAGTGTTTTTTTATTACAAGAATAGAGCGCAATTGCTCAGGTCGTTTAATTGCATGTCACATAAATCTCAGGAATTGATTGCTCTGATTTATGACAGCCGCTCGAGTTCGAGCCCGAGTGTGGCGTTTGTCGCCTAAGTCTTTCGTGTGGGCGTCGCTTACTGTATTTATATTTATTTGTTTCCCTTTTTGTGTAATTCACATTCACGGCTAAAAAGCATTTTGACATTTTGCTGCGCTGACCTTCAACGCAAAAACCATTAGAATAAAGCGAGCAAGATGCGCCTTAAAAAAATACCGTTAAATGTATTAAACATGTGCATACATGCATACATATATAAGCCATATATTAGTGCCAGTGCCTGGGCGCAAAAGCTTTCAAGCCAGCCGAAATGATAAATGCGACGAGAAAAGAAACTGCTTAATTCTATAAAAATAAAAATATTGATTTTAAAAAAATACAAATAATAAAAATCACATATTTAGCAAAAAGAAATGTCTGGGCGCATCTGTCGGATGATGTAATTAACACGTAGAAAGCTGCTTTGATTTATGCTAGATATATGCAAATCAGCGCAGCGAACAACCTTTACGAAAGAGGCGAAGAGAGCCGGTCTTAGCCATGGTTAAGAGAGTAACGATCTGTGGGCGCTCTTAAGCCATGCCGAAGCTCGGCCAAAAAGCTTCGACTTTTTATTTTCGGTGCTCTGCGATACGCTAAATGCTATTAAGCCCAGTTGAGCCATGAAGCAACAAGAAAAAAAAAACTCAAAGCAGAATAAAAGTTTTCAAGCAGCCGAAGCCCGTTCGACAACGTAACCGAACTTACGGTAAGGCCAGCTAGCCAGCCAGCCAGCCAGTTAGCCAGGCCAACAACGTCTTGGCCGTCAGTCGTGTCGCGAAAGTCGTCGAGTGCGTTTGCTAGTTGCTTTTGTTGCTGTCGCTGCGGCACAAACAAACAAACACACACACACACGCTCAACATTTACACACACACACACACGTCGTGTTAGCTGGTGCCGTGTTACAGTGGGTATTAACAAAACAACAAAAATATTTAACAAATAAATAAAAAACCCACACACAAGCTCATCATCAGCAGCATCATCGGATGCTGCTGCTGTCTCTTCTCTTCTTCGTCATCATCATCATAAAAAAATTATAAAAAAAAAAAATTTGTTTAGTGCGCGCAGTCGTTATGCAACTGAAGTGCGTTCCAAAACCAAAACAAATAAGTAAAAATTGAAAAGAAAAAAATCATAGAAAAATAGTTAAAGAAATGCAAATATAAATCAAAAGCAAAGCAAAAGCAAAAGCATAGAAAAAACTCTTTGCTTTAATTAGAAATTTGTACAAATAAAACTGCGGTAAAAGCGTAGAGAAAAATGCACAGAAAATTATAATTAAATAAACAATTTTTATATAAA